TGTGTGTGTGTGTGTGTGTGTGTGTGTGTGTGAGGGGAAAAAATGGAACGGTTGAGGGTGAGAGGAGATGAATGGATGGGAAGTTTCTAAATTACAGGGTCTCTACAACACAGAGTCCTGAGAGAAGAAGGGAGGAGAGGAGGAGGAGGAGGGAGAAGGCTCTACCTTCAGCTGAGCTGCCACCTGCTGCAAAACAGAGAAGAAACAGAGGAAAGGTTTGAGGTACAGTGCTGCAACACAGCACCAGCAAAAAAGCAAGGAATGAGTGGCGACAGCTGTTAGTAAATCAGTTCCTCTGTTTCAAATACAGAGCGGCATTCACCACACAAACATGAAGAACAAAGGAGTAAAGCAGTTCAAGCACAGAGGTTGGATTAATTCAGCTTTCATTCTCACTTGATGTATGATTATACAACAAAAACAAATCCCTTGTTGGAAAAAAAAAACTATAAACACAATTTTTATGAGTCAAAACTAACAGAAAAAAAATGTCAGCTTTGATCTTTGGGTCAAAACAACAAAATAAAAAAGCCAAAATGCTGAGACATTTTATGAGCCCACGGAGAAGCTTTCCCATGAATAACTTGTGTGATAAATTTCCATATCTACTTTTAGATGCACCTTGCTTTATTCTGTATAAATGTGGACTTGAGTGTGTGTGTGGAGGGGGAGGGGGTAATTGGTTAGACAGATTTTACACTTACCTCGTTTAAGAGATACGGGGAATTTCTGGCTATCTTTTCCATATTCGTTGGAGGCTTCACAGGTCACCCCATTCTCAATGACATCAGCCGTAGCCTCTAGGGTCACGGTGCTCACTATCTTGTTACCTTCCACTGACACTGACTCACGCTAGTAATGAAAAGAAATGAACATAAGAAAACACTTTTTTATTTCTTACAAAATTACACGTGCCATTCAGATTGCATTGTAATTAAACGCATTAAGCATCTATTAGTTTTTTGTTTCATGATTCAGATTGAAGTGATTTAAAAAAAGCTGAATTCATTACTTATTTTTCTTTTTCTTTAAAATATCATCTGTTTATCAAATGGACCATTAAAGTTTGATCTTATTTCATCACTCTGTAAAGTTTTTAAATCATGATGCCGAACTCTAAGTTTTTCTAAAGCTGTTTTATGAAGTTTTCTTTAATTTCCATCCATCCATCCATCCATCCATTTTCTGTACACGCTTCTTCCTTTTCAGGGTCACGTGGGTCACTGGTGCCCATTTCCAGCAGTCACAGTGTTTTCTTTAATTTCTCCAAGCATTTAAAGTATTAGAAGTTTTGAACATAGAAATATGAGGTTTTAATAAAATCTCATACCTTTAAACATCACGTTTTGACACAAACGAAAACACTAACATAGGTTTTCCATCCCTTTCAAGCAGGTTGCAGAAAAAAAGGGGTAAATCTGATTCATTTTTCCTCCTGTTTGTCTTGGTCGTTTGACACAACCGTACCTGGTTTCCTGAGGGGTTCCAGGTGAACTGAGGTTTGGGGAATCCATAAGCCGAGCACTTCAGCGTCACAGTGTCTCCTTCGTTCACCACCTCTCCAGGAGCAGAAGGCTCAATYATTGGTTTTCCTGGACAGGAAGTTGGAAAGTGTTCAGCAAACAAAACGAACAATGCAGCAAAAATATCACGATCATCATCTCAGATTGAAGTGAATCATAGGAAGGAAGCACCATTCACTTAAAGCTCTTCTGTCAAATATACAACCTACACCCTCTGAAATTAAAATAGTACTCTGAACTTTCTAACATCCACCTATGTTGTATGGTGTGTGTGTGTGTATGCGCACACACCATGTGGCATGTGTTATTCTACTTATATTCTATTCTATTCTATTCATGTTTGTGTGAAAAAAGTTGTATGTTTCATATGCTTGTTTATGAAACATGCATCTTTTTTCCAAAATTGTACAAAAGTCTAAATAAAACAATGGTGTCMCAATTTGTACATCCTTTAAACAACGTATTATCTGAAACTTGTGTAGGACGTGTAATGATTTTAAGATAGACGTCAATATTTTGACATGCTCGTTTAAATTTTAAAGCCAGTAATATGGCTGCTTTATCAGGCGTGTTTACTGACTGATGGTTCTGGACTGTAGAGGCCAGTTAAAAAAAACTGTCTCCTTTATTGCCAAGCCATGTTGTAATAAATCCAACYATTGCCTGTCAACAGCTTTGTAAATTATAAAACACCTTCATAAATATAAAAAAGAAAAACTAACTCTCAGTAGTAGAATACAATGCTCTGAAACTTGTATTTCTCAAATTTCTCAGTTTGGCGTCCATAGCCTTTGCATTTTACCGGGTTTCCCCTACATGTAATTGATTGTGGCACACTATCACGGCAAAAATCATAGCCGCCACACTTTCAGAATAAAGTTTCTTGCCCTTTTTTTAATAATAGGCCTATATTAGGCTTAAACAATGTAAAGCATATCATATATATTTATATCCTATATTTGCGCTCTTATACTARCCATGATCAGACTTTGAAATCCTATTTAAACATCAATGAACAGTTAAGATATACTTTATTTTGAAAACCCAATACCACGGGTTCTTGTGAGCAGACAGCCTGTAAGCGCTGTCTGTGTGTGTAATCCTCACAAAGATAGCAAGGTGAGTGAAGAAAAAAAATGAAGAAAAAAAAGCAGCCGCACCATTGTGTGTGATGTGACGCTCGATGAAAACTGTAAGTTTGCGACAGCTTTGCAAAGCTACTTTGTTTTTTTTTTTTCATTCAAGGAAGACACGACAGGTGAAGCTACAGCATGTTTACCTTATCAATAATTACAGCAAGAATCACCAACACAGACCTGCGTGCAGTGCTGGCTCTAGCCATTTTGGTGCCCTAGGCGAGTTGAAGGGCACCCCCCCACCCCCCACTAGTTTACTATGGTAAACTTTGATTTATTTGCTTTAAACACAAACATACATCACACAACAAATTAAATGAATAAATAAATATAATTAAATCAAACGACAAGGGTAAACAAAAGACCCTGTTCATAATTTGCGCAAAGATTTAGAAGGTCCTCTCTTTTTGGAAAATATAAGTCTGATTTTACCTCATAAGGTCCTCGGCTGACAAACTCAGTCCTCACTGTGTCAGAATGGATGAGAGCAGGATTAGTAGTAGGAGTAGTTTATTTTTCCTGTAATACTTCATTATAGTTTTTTAAGACAAAGCTAATTGAAAGGGGCGCTGAGCAGAGTTACAACCAGGGATTACAAATAATTACTTTTTTTTCTTCTGCAGTTCTGCGCCCCCTCTAGCAGATGGCGCTCTAGGCGACCGCCTAGTTCGCCTATGCCAAGAGCCGGCTCTGCCTGCATGTGACCGGGAGTCAGCGACTCCATGCCTGTTCTAAAAATAGTGCTGATCAGAAGCGCAGCTATGAGCTAATGTAGCTAATGTAGCTAATGTAATGTCCCTCAACTTTTAAAAAAGTAACCAGAGTTGTTTGTGAACTCAAAACACCATAAATCCAGACAGAATGATCTGCTGTTGATCCACACGCTGAGCAAGCTCCTCTCCCCTCTCTGTCACACACCATTGAGCCGCAGCAGACAGAGACGCTTTCAGGAGCATTAACCCTTTAGGGCCCAGATTTAAAATGTGACAAATAAATTATTTTCAGTGACTGAAAGAAGTTTTTTTTGGATAGTTGCATTTTTAACTGTTGTCTTTTATATCTACAAGAGTTAAGAGTTCTTCTGCAGTGTTACAAATACATTTTGTAGAAACAAGACATGATTTGAGGCTTTTTTACTGATAATATTTTCTTTTAAACATGTTTCAGAAGAAATAAGAAGCAGGTTTATTTTGAATAATCATAATAAATGTGCTCATTCCTACAAAACTGTCAAATATATTTACAAAATACACTAAACTGATTCAGATTAGCATAAAATAAATCATGTTTTATAATTAAATGTCTCTGTCAACCACCCCAGCCCCTACCCACAGGGGGGAAAAAAACAGCCTACCACCACCACGGTTTAAAAAATTCTAGGGGAAACCCTGTTTTATTCCTATGAATTTTTCACYTTTTTGAGAAAATTGTTTAAGATGCTAATGTGATTGTTTCCWTGACAATTTTGTGTATTAATCTTGTTACCTTTTACGGTGAGGTTCACACTGGCCTGGGCTGTCAGTCCGGCCACTTCGGAAACATTTCCAACACACACGTATTCTCCAGCGTCCTCAAAGGTAGCACTGGCTATTGATAGACTGCCGTCATCAGAGAGGACTTTGGAACCCTGAAGAAAAAACAGACACCTTGTAATAAAACCAGCTGGACTCACACTATCATCCTTTCTATTCTCCTCTTTTCTCTCCTCCCTGCCTGAAATAGAGAGAACAGCTCTGTGGATATGTGCACTGAAGGTGCACTGGGAAAGCAGAAGAGGAGTCTTCACATACACTGTTTGACAGCACAGTGATAACAGATCATCCCCGATGATAAACCTCTCTCTGGCAATTCCTCTCCAATTCTTTTCATAGAAATTCTTCTACACAAGAACAACACATTCTCTACCCAGTTTCTATCAACCCCAGGAGACACAACAGGAGATATACAAGCTGTAACAACAGGCCTGACACTGCAGAAACACAACACTCATAACAAATGAAGAAGCAGGGTTGAATCTCAAACAAATCAAGGGTTAACAAGCTGTTGCACAGTATGAAGATGATAAAAATCAAATAAGCTTCTTAATAAACGCAGAAGGAAAAACTCTGGGGTTTGTTTATTACACAAAAAGTCGCTACGCTTGTCACTTTAGT